GATTATTTAACAGTAATAGTCGAATGGCGATAATCAAACCATAGACGATTAGAATCGATTTCATTGGAATCGAATCATAATCTTACTAATATTATAAATTCGAAGGTTTAAATAGATGGATATTTGTTAGAGTTTGTAGCCTAAACGGCTGAACGGATCTCGATGAGATTTGGCATAGATGTAGAGAATAGTCTGGAAGAACACATTATCTACTTAGTTTTTTTTAATTCCACACGGACGGAGTCGCGGGCGAAAACTAGTATCTTCAATAAACCACAAAGTAATATTAACTGCGATTATTGAATACAAGCTTTTGTCCGTGACTCTGTGCTCGTCTAATTAAAAAAAAAAACCAAAGTTAGTAGGCTTTGTGTTCTTCCACACTATATTCTAGTCTATGCCAAATTTCATCCTGATCCGTGCAGCCGTTTAGGCTACAAACACTAACAAACATATATCCGTCTAAACTTTCGCATTATTAATATTAGTATGATTTAACATGTCTATTTATTCGTAGATCGTGTCTGCAAAATGTTCAGCAAATACTCTAATACGATTCGAAATAGACATATCAATAAACAACTAATGCATCTTTATTGTATTGTGTCTGAAATTAATTTGAAACGTTTAACATTATTTTGTCATTAACGGTATTAAAATTGGATCATTCCACGTTCATCCGTGCAACCGAATATCTTCGAATTAATGTTGCATTTAAGCTATCCTAATTTCAAGCATATTTAATGGTTTCGCGTAATAGCCGAATAATTAGTCTCGTATAGGCTGTAATGATGCGTTCAGGTACAACTGTGGTCCGCATTAGTTATTAACTAATGAGAAATAACGGCGATGCAATGCGGCTTCTGAAATTGGTGGTGTAATACGATTGTGTTTTGTTCAGGCCTCATCGATATTGTTTCGTTATTTTTACAATAATACTTATATTAGGACAATTTATTTGATCTAATCCTGGAGTAGAATGACACATGTAACAAAGATTCTTACTTTTAGGCATTCAATATGCATTAAAGGAGTTTCTATTAATCGATTCGTTTTCACAATAATTTAACACACTATCTCACTAATATTATAAATACGAAAGTTTAGATGGATGGATGGATGTATGTAAGAGTTTGTAGCCTAAATGGCTGATCGGATTTCGATAAAATTTGGCATAGACGTAGGGTATAGTCTGGAAGAACACATAGGCTACTCACTTTTGTGTCAGAGTCGCGGGCGAAAGCTAGTTACATACATTAATCCAAAGCTTTGTATGTACGTACCAAGTGATATACATGTTATCTACATATGTGAGCCTAGTCGTCAAACTTAGTTGTCCCTTTGTCAGAGTTCGTCAAATAACCTAAAGTCGGTTCCACACAGGCTTGTATGCAAATAGTCGACTGCATAAATTTAGGTTTCACAACTACCTATTTTACCTTACGAGTCTACGAAACACGAACCAATGAAGACTTGCTATGGGGAATTTAGTAACAAGAGTTTCGAGTGATTAATGCTGGTAATTCAGCCGTTATTTTAATACAAATTATTGCAATTTTAGAATGACAGATTTGATGTATTACGTAGCTCTAAATCGTCTTAACGGATCTAGATAAAAATTGGTACCATCGTCTCGATAGCTGACATTCCACAATCGTGGTGGTCTTCGCAAACCTTTCTGTGTCGCACAGCCTCATTATAGAATGGGCTGTCCTCTGCGGTATTTCCAAACCGGTACGACTTAGGTACTCAAGAAGTCTATCATTTCCTTAAAGACAGACAACTCATCTCTAATTAGTTAGGTATTGCGGATGTCTAAGTGTCCGGACATAAGAATTTACTAATACCTAAGTCATGAGGATTTTCCTGGAAAAAGATTTGTTCAATTTGATATACGAGTATGAAATACCTTTTTCTTTGTGGTTAATCCCTGAAAATATATTTTTTTTCTGTTTCTATTTTAATACCCGATATTTCGCCGACTCACAAAGAGGAATTTTAGTCGGATAACGTTTGTTTCTAAACTATATTTGAATTTGCAACTCTACCGTCATTGTTTGAGTTTCAATAAACGTGCAGTTTGTTAATGCATTTGTAAAACTTTACGCTACCGTTCTATTATCGTTGATAATTAATTTCTCTAAGGCTCTGTCCCACCTCTGGCTGATAGAGGCTCAGATAGCTTAAACATGACGTCACTGTCAGATAAGGTAACGATATCCGATTCCGAATCCGATGTTTCCATCACACATTCTACACGTTGGATTGTTATCAGACAATTTATAATTTGGATACACGTCTTGTGAATTAAGTTTTATTTTCGGCACCTTCGGCATCAAAGACACCTTCTAGATATCCTTCTTCTCCTGGTCTTCCCCGAACTTCCCTATATAATTTCCAGCATGTTTATTGAGTTGATATTAAAATAAATATTCCGAGATATAAAACAAACACCAATTCCTTCACTGAAGTTTATTATCTTCTATTATTATAAAAGGTAAAATAAAATGAAACTGCACTGCTTTCATAAAAGTTCCTCATCTCTTTAATCCCGGAGAGTTTCCATTTAGTTTTTGCGACACTAATTACTGGATCTAACCCCGTCGCGGCACCATTTATTATTCTTCAACAGCGTGACACTGGCTTATTTATTTTCTTAATAGATTTCAAAGAGTTTTTATTAGCACGGTAATTTATTTTATTGAATCTGTTCTATTCAATCGATTGGTTTAAATATTTGGCTTCAAGTAAGATTGACATTGGGATCGCCACTGACTTCAATGAGGCTATAAAATATGTTTTTTTGAGTCTACTTGATTTTCAGATTCTCAGGTTTTTGCAGTGGTGAGAATCGGATACTAAATATAGTGTTATATTTTACTGTATTAACATTAACAGATGCGTTTAAGTCGAAATAAGCACGAAACAAGCAGATATAAATCAGTGGAGATAGTTGAAATTTTAGTGTGTCTAAATAAGATAGATTAGTTAGATAATTCATTTGAAATTTAGTAGGGATGCGTTGTGTAAAATCAGTCATAAATCTTATCGATTTTCGAATTTTATTTTTACAGAAGTTGCAATCGATAGATTCATATTTGTAAGTTATGAATAAAAAAAAACACTGTTTTCTTAAATTAATAATGACCTGCAGAACCATTACAAGTAATGAGAGTAAATAAATGTTTATTACTACTATAACTGTACGGAATCGAATTAGATTTCGCTATTATTTCTGTCATCGCTAAATTCTCTACACTATAATCAATACTAGAATTGTCCTCTAAATTAGTTAATAAGAAGGTAATCATTTTAGTTGAGTTCGATAAATATTTAAACCGAATATCGATAGTTCATAATTGTTCGCTATGCGTATTTGTCTCGTCACTACGATACCTGTCTATTAAGTACGGCATTTGCCCTCATACAAATTGAATTCGATACTTCATATGCGTCATTTATCAAACTAATCTATCTTGTTTAGACAAACTATTTTGCAATATTGACACTTGTCAAATAATTATCCGTTATTGGTTATGTAGAAAAGTTCTCAGCAACACTTAAAATGTAATGAAGCTATTCCTTAGCTATAAAATAAAATTGTCACCATTTGCAAAACGGCTGTGAGAGAAATTGTACGCTCACAGTTCGTTAAGCCGTTACACAGGGTCATTGTGGTCGGGGGTTGGTGAGATTGGTTTCTTCCCTACTTTGGAATAGGGCACGCTTCGTGGTAATGATTTTATGACAATTATTTTAGAACTACCGTCAGTTTGTGTCTTTAAAATTACACACACTTCTATGTTGCCTAAGTTGTCAGCAATTACAGCATATTTTTGAATAATTCATCACACTGTAGGCTATATATTTCACGCCATTAAACTTAAGGGGTAAATATTTTGGATAAAAACCCTAATGTGGGAAAGAGAACATAAGTTGAGGTCAACATCAAGGAAACAAGATTGCCAAGATTTTTCATGTCATGTCATTTTGGCATTTGCTAATGATAATTTGACAAATGTAAACAATATAATAAAATTTTCATAATTTCATGCTGATAATGCCGCACGTGAACAGCTGGTCTATAAATAGAATACGTATTCTTTATGATTTAATGTTTTTTAAATATAAAGACGAATATAAGCGAAATTGGTTAAAAAACATGCTTGGTGTCAAAAGAGGTTTTTTAGTTATCAAACTCATTTTGCAAATAAAAGAATTTTTTCTTTATTAAAGCTTTCTTAATCCCTAAGGAGCTGTCGTTTAGGTTTCGCAATATTAATTAATTCTTTGAAGTTAACGCTGTTGAGTACTTTTATTATTTCGTTCTAAGAAGTGTGTTTTTGTACTTGAATAGTTTTGAATAGTTTTAATTTTCCATCTCCTTAGTTCAGAGCATGGATACTTAGAGCGGGCGCACACCTTTGACTAACCCATCGGACAACTGTTTGCGGTTGTCGATTGTTTCGCAGCTAATTCAACTGTTTTCTGGCACAACTAACACAGAGTAGTGTGTGCACCTCCATAAGCTCATAGGAATCAAAGAGAGACTGAAGAGTTGGACGATACTTTAGTCAAAGGTGTGCATCCTCCTAAGTTTAAATCTATAGTCAATATTTATTTTATTTAGTTTACTAAGTATTAACTTCTAACATTGCTATTCCAGGTCTACATAGATAATAGAGTTCTACGTTAAAAAGCGCTGAATCATTGATGTGATTTTTTTTTAAGTTTTCACACGATAAAAAAAGACTTTTACTTTGTGAATTCGTCACAATCTGGTAAACGGTCGAGCATTCAAAGAAAATGTCCCCTCACGGTTCGTTAGCTTGGAATATTGGTTCATTGTGGGCAAGATGCGTCCCCTAGTTATTCGGTGTTACGTAACTTTAAAAGTTGGTACGAAGAGGAAACTATTACGGGAGTTTTCACAACTACATGTGATTTTTACAGGAAATGAAGTTCGATCAAATACTTTTTATCATAATGTGGCAAACGAGCAAGCGGCCACCTGAATCTGCCAAACTGGCGAGGTGAGCGCTGCCTATAGACATTCGTAATAGCGGATGCGTTGCCTACCCTTAATCGCCGGAGGAGGTAACGCACATAAAGAAGATGTTTTCATTTCATATGTGTCTCCTCCACTATCAAATACACGTTCCCTTCCAGTCCTTTGCTTGTAAGAAGATGGGTGTGAAGGAAAAGGGACTAAAGTTGGTCCTCCGGCAAGATAGATGTGTCAGAGTAGGTGTTTGTCTCTTCCAGTATTAAGCTTTTTAAAAGTAATAGCGGTTTTCCATAGCGTTAATGAACACTGAAATAAAGCTTGTATAGAAATACATATTATTTGAAATTATCAATGCACATTTTTCAGTTATGCAAAATATATTCCACTAGGTCACGTTGGTTAGATATTTCGCATCCGAGAAGTTGCTCCAAAAACCGTCGGCTCTGGAAACGATTCAATATTGAAACCGAAAAGCCTTTCCCGTTGTTTCGCGGTTTTATTATGTTTTGGCACCATTGTATATTCAGTTTGTTTCCAGCTATGAATTTAATATGGCTGACAACGCCTTTAAATCGAAATGATAAATTACGTGAATTCGTAGAAATACAGATAAAATTATTATATACCGAAATAATATTTAAATCATATTTTCTTGCTAATACAAACACACAGGCTTAATAAAATACGCAATTATTCTTTGAAATTTCGCGCGAACGATGTCGCGGGCAATAGCTAGTCATAGTAAATAATAGTAAGTATTATAAATACGTTTGGATGATTGTATCTTTATGAAATTTGTCACAGATATAGAAAATAGGTTAAGTTATTTTGCAATGTCGCGGGCAACAGGTAGTATGTTAAATAACCTTAAGATGTTAAGACAATCTAATGTTTAATCTACCCTAAGTGATTGCTTTAACGCTCAATTAACGATTCTTAGTATCGTACCCATACTTACCAGTTACGTAATAATTGTTTACAACAAATTTGTCTAAACTAATATTATAAAAAGGCAAGATTTGTATTTTTGTATGTATTGTAATAACTCAAAAACTACTAGGCTGATTTCAAAAATTTTAAACCTATGGCATCAGTTAATAACTGAAGCTCTGTTTTTTATTGATTTCGGAAATCACGGGGACGAAGTCGCAAGCAACAGCAAGTCTTTAGTAAAAATACTTAATGAAGAAAAAAAGCGTTACTTTTACAACGTTAAATACGAACTGAGTTATATAAAATGTTCTGTAAAAATAATTTAAACTAGAATTTTCATTCGTATACGCTTTTGATACGTCAAGCGTGTTTGTGTCCCTCGAGTTAAACTCATTTCTAAGCTATAATTTGAAATTTGAACCGAACCACGGTTGTTGACTGGAAAATATTACTCGCGAGGTAATTACTATATTGTTTAACTTGAATTCGATACCCAAAAACATATTTTATTCATTCACATGTATAACTTGATTTGAATAGAATTTAAATTGTGGATTCACAAATAGTTTACTAGGAATATAAAAAAATAAAAAAGCTATGATTGAAAATTTCAATTCGCAATAAAAATATTAACAAAAAATTCGTAGAGTTTGCTATGTTTTTTTATGGGAATATAAATGAAAAAAAAAATCTTTCTATTGTCGTATTTGTCGCATGCATAGAGGGCGGGATCGGGCTGCGCTCAAACTGTTCATTAATTAAATTTCACTGTCTGTCTGTCTGTGATGCCGACATTGTGTCGAGTGTCAACTACCAGGCTTCCACATTCACTAATTATAGATTATGTACAAACCATCAGCTCTGAGCCTTATATACTAGATTCAACCCACTTACCTGTCCGCGTGGTAAGAAAAATAGCTCACGTGTTCTCCCAGACTATCTCTACATCTATGCCAAATTTCATCGAGATCCGTTAAGCAGTTTAGGCTACAAACTTTAACAAACATCTATATAAACTTTCGCTTTTAGAATATCAGTGAAATAGTGATATTTTAAAAGTAATTACTTAAGGTTTGAAATATTTTATTTCAATGGAGAAACACGGTAATAAAAGGGATGTTCCTAAAATACGTAATCAATTTTTTTCTGTATTATTTACAAAAGAATTTGCAAGGAACTCTCGTTCAAAGAGTACATGCTGTACATATAAATAATGTAATTATCAACGTTGATTACAATGCATTAGTTATGTATCTTGAATGAATTAAATACCTTTAACTTGTATATAGATTTAGAGCTATGTATTATGAGATTACGCTGAAAACAAACATCTGCCATCTGTATCGTATGTCCTCATAAAAATAGACATAGAAACAATAGACAGAGCATTAGGTTTTTCACACTGTTTGGATGTATAGTAATCTTCAACAGTTCGCATCTCGCGGATTTTTCTGTCCCGCATAATACCGTGTTAAACGGTATGAGATTGAAATTTTTTAAAAATTATAAGTTTCTACATATTTAGAGTGATAAACGAGTATAAATATTGCACAGTGGAAGTCTACGCTAATAAAAAATATATCATTGTGACATACATCACAAAAAGCCGAACATTTTCTCTTTACATGTAAATATCATCTGTTCTGGTTTTGATTTTCACATATTTCATGAATAATTCATCCACGTGTCTGTCGAAAGCATATATCTAGATTAAATGAAATCTAGCCGTGTTTCAAACGTTCATTACCTTGGTAAATAAAACTATGAAGGCCTGTTCCACCACTGGCTGATAGAGGCTCATATAGCTTAAAAATGACGCCACTGTCAGATAAGGGACCAAATCCGACATTTCCATCGCATATTTTACATGTTCGATTGTTATCAGACAGTTTATAATTTTGGTGAGACAGGCCCTAAGCATCCTTTACCTATTTTTTGGAACTGTTAGAACCGATCTACGAATGAAAATGAGTAAAATATGATTATTAAAATTTTTTTTCCTTTTCAGATGTCTTCGAACTTAAGGCCACGGGATCGAAGACTCAGTGATTAATTTACACAATTTGACAATTGTAAAAATTAAATGTTATAACGTGTTATATAGGCAATGATACTAGATAGTGATGGACATTAAAGTGATGTGATATATATTGGTGTGATGTGATCGTGTGATAGTAGTCAATATGCCGACGGGGCTGTGTCGGTTCTTCGCGTCAGCAGCACTGCTCGGCGCTACACTAGCTATGGCTGCCAAAAGCGGTAAGTGAAAAGTGTTGTCAGGTTTATTCTAATGTTAATCTTTTTTATCATAAATAATCTAGCGTTTGCGGTCAAAGGATGTTACGCGCTAGCTTAGTAAGTACCAATTCACTCTTGAAGACGCCCACGTTGTACCTGGACGGGAACACTGACGCCGGCAACTTCTTTATTTTTAGAGCTTGCTCACACTAAACTATAGCACAACTGTTTAGTCTTGCTTTGATTCCTATGAGCTTATATGACACTAGACTGCTCGATTTTTAGTTATGCAATTAAACAATTGAATTGGTTGCAAAACAATCGACAGTCGCACAACAGTTGTGCGATAGTTTAGTCAAATGTGTGTCCCGCTCATACTGTGAATCTCTTGCACCTCTTAGATGGTGATTTATTTAAAGATTATCATCAAATTCATAGATTTAACGAAGCTGTAAATTTTTTTCTACAAAATACTATCCGGATGCATCTAACTGGCCAGTATAATTGTAATTCGTATTTTTTCATATTCTACGTATTCAATGTTCTATATTTAAAAATAAAATAATATCATAGAGTTAGAAATATTTAAAATTGGTTAAACCTCCTGTTCAAGAAGGGCGTAGCGTGTAAACCTAATTTATATACACTGTGTTCTCTATTTGGTTCTTTAATAAATTCTCTCAGAAGCGAGGCGCAACGATTTTAATATTCTCAGGCACAGAGTATAAATTGCTTTAAACGTATGCAGCATCTTTAACATAAACAATACTCTTGCATAATCCAAGTTGATATTGTAAAACTCTAGAAACTGTGAACACATAAATTGAATACACAATCTATACATTTGAATAAAAACCACTTAAAACGAAAACTTTGAGGCTCAACAAAGTTTCTACATTTATGGTTGAAAGTGTCTTCGTGTAACTTTTGTGCGTGGGATGTTTTCGAGAGGAATACGCTCTAACAGCGAACGTAAAGAAACTTCGAACAACGTTACAAACGCCATTCGAGGAAACTACGTACGAAGATAACCAGTTGAATGAAATTTTTTTTGTATCCTGACATTGCCGTACTTGAATTCGTTTAGCGGTCTCTTTAAGTATAGATTTAGTATCAAGTACTCTTCCTTTGTAGCCATCCACATTCAATCTTAACATTTTCTGGTTTATGGTCCCGTCGTCTCGTCGCATGTCCATAAAAGAGAATTTAAACCATTGAAAAACTTTGTGATAATAAACACACATATCTATCCAGGTATTTTAAACGTTCACTGTTCGATTTATTCTTTGACTCTTAAAACAATGTAGATGTTGTAGTCACACTTTAATTAAAAAAAAACTCAGGGCCTGTCCCACCACTGGCTAATAGAGGCTCAGATTGCTAAATAATGACGTCACTGTCAGATAAGGGAACAAAATCCGATATTTCCATCACATATTTTACACATTCGATTGTTATCAAACAATTTACAATTTGATGGTACTCTTACAAGCAACCAGTGGGACAGAAGCATAAAAAATATAAGGGTATTTATTACATATAAATAATAACTTAATATGGTTCTATAGTAACACTGAAACGAAGTGCTTTGTTAAATGTAATGCTTAGTGAAGTCATTTGGAATGCACTCGAGATGTAGACATTTTCTCATCCAACTTCCTACAGCCATTACGACGAGAAGTATTTATCAAAGTAAAACTTCTCCACGATTTTGGAAATGGGTAACATTTCTATTGTAGTTTGTGATAAGTCTTTGTCAGAAACTTCTAACATTAGGTCTACTTGGTCTTAGTTATTATATACCTAATGCATTTTTTAGTACATTTGGTAATAGAGGCCAAATTATAGTCGGACTGACTATAATTTACCTCAGGCCTCAATTACCAAACTTATGAGAAATCTATATTACACTGTTTAAATATTTGTGAGACATTATCTTAAATGAAAACGGCTCAAATCGGTGTCGTCACCAGAAGATTAATTTGAGCCGGAACTCTATCTCTAAGCATTGTTACTACTGAAGTACAGTCGTGGAATTTGGCGGTATTCCTTAAAAGTTGTCGTTTGAACGTTTTGTACGCATTAAGACGACGCTGAACAATAACTAATAGGAAGAAATATTTTAATGTGTCTGTAAAAAGGTCAATTACGGTACGGAACACGCTTAATTATTTTATTATTACCCCTTTATTTCCGCTAAACACACTTCTTTCTTTTTTTGTAGGCAGAAATGTCTTTGTCTTTGTCTCGTCGCAAAGGACAAGACAATTTTTCTGTAAGTAGATAACCGCGGATTTCCGTTATTGTACATTAATTGTAAATAGCATTTTTAAATAACTACATTATATTAATATTAATTCAACATTAGACTACAAGTTAATCAGTGCAATATCGGTACGGCTGTGTAATGCAAATAGCTGTGTTATCATCACTCGACGCCAGATGGCGCTCCGCTGGGAGGTAACGGATCAGTGCAGTGGCGCGTGAAACACTGATTGTCTATACGACACTCACGGGATCGATTTCAATGTTTTTAAATGTATACCCTGAATCCATTACCGAAACTTGTTTTCCAATATTAGATGTCTCTATTTCTTTCAATGAGTACGAGAGAGATGGATATATGATTCATACAAGTGAGGTTTTCATACAATTTTTTCTATCAAATTTTTAAAACGTAACGTAACGTTTCTTAATTTTTAGCGATCTTCGTTATTTTGTAAACGGATAATTTTCATAAGTTGTATTAAGTGTTAAGCTTAACTTAACAGAAGACTTAGATACTTATCTAAGCATCTTAGATTGGGATTAACACTAAAGGTAATGTACATAAGAGCTTAAGCTAAATGTAGACGGCTTGAATGAATTTGATCCTTTTCATATTAAATCTCTAAAATATTAACAGAATGAAAAATAACTAAAATGTGCATAATTAAATAAACAATATTGGAACGAAGTATGTATATGCATGTTCCGTTTATACTTTATAAAATTGATAGTCCTAGAATATAATTACGATTTTTACTAATTCCATTGTCATTTGTCCTTCTTAAGTGTTCTTATTGTACATCTTGAAGTTGTGAGAATTAATTTTAAAGTTTTTAACTCTCATTTATTAGAAGATAACATCATCGTCATCATCATCATCATCAGGTTTTTGTCTTCCACATGACTCTATCATACGTCATCTCAGTCATCACTCCCTTTTTGATTATGTTACCTTTCAAAAAGGGAGTGACGACTGATTTATTAGAAGTTAACAATTGAAGTAAAAAGTGCAATATTTATTTTAGCTAGCGATTCTGCTAGTAAAGTACGGTCAGAGAACGAGCATAAAGCATTTAAGAACAAGCGGAACCTTATCTAAGGCTTTTAATACAAAAAGTCGCGATGCCGAGAACGGAACAAAAAAAAAACTTAATCCTCACAAAAGTGGGACTTAAAGCGACCGCATTGCGACACTACGATAACCTGTGGACCGAACTTTAATACAAAAGTTGTCTCTACAAACGGGAAGCTAAGTGAAAAAAAATAGTAGCGGTTAAAATTGGTACAGCCCTGGGGTTCGATGAATAACACTTTAGAAGTTTGCAAAGGGAATAGAAGAATGTTTAACGTATAAATGTCTATGACCATGCTAGTAACTAGCACTTACCAGATATAAGCTATCCTATAATCAGCTACGATATTTTATTTTGTGACATCTACGCGCAAATAAATTGACGTAAAAGTCGAGGGGCGTACGAAACAACAGTGACAGACGTGTCATACGATCTTGCATTGTGCAAGTACTATGCCAGCGCCTGTCCAATTTTACTGGCAAATTAACGCCTCTACAAAAATGCTATTGTACTTTAGTAATACATATATTATTATAAACAATACATGAATGAATAAACACAGAATTCGATATTATTTCCTTCTGTATTGTTTATGATATTTGCAATTCAGTAGTAATTTTGTGTTTACCTTTTATCAATACTGATATTATAAAGAGGAAAGATTTGTATTTTTGGATTTTTGTATGTATTGAAATAACTTAAAAACTGCTGGGCCGATTTCAAAAAATATTCACCGTGAAAAAGCTACAATATCAGTGAGTGTATAGCATTGGCTATATATCTTTTTTATTATTATTTTGTGCGGACGGAGTCACGAGCAACAGCTAGTGTATGAGTAATTACAATTTAATTGTGTAAATGTTTTCAATAGCAGATATGTTGTTGATAAGCGCTTACATCTTACAGTATTTCTCATATTTACAAGATGTTATTTTAAATCCCTGTTTGTTCTACCCGGCTACCAATCTAGAGGAATTGTTGTTTTCATTTCATCCCGTCCCTCGCTCGCGTTATAATTTCCGAAATGAAGGCGGACCTTTTTTTCTCCCTTGAATTCGTTTCGGAGACTGTTATTTTATTGTTATATTTTCTTTACCTACGGCTAAACTCGGATTGTGTTGTAAATTGCGATCTCTATAAATTATTCCAGATTTCGATATAAATATAATTGCTTCTTCTTTGCCATTTTGTTAATAAAATATGCAATTTTTGTTTATAAAGTACTAGCTTTCGCCCGCGACTTTGACGTGGCGTTCTTATTAAAACAGTCAGAAGCTCAGTGTTCTTCCAGACTGTACTCTACATTTATGCCTTTCACGGAGATCCGTTCAACAGTTTAGGCTACAGACAAACATCCATCCGAAAGTTTATATTATTAGTAAGAAGTAAGACTACTAGCATCTCATGTTATTTGCAAAGAAATATGTTTATGAAGTTAGTTGTATTAAAAAATACATATCTAGTACTACAGTCTCTTCCATATGATTTTACTTTTTATTTTCATACATTACGAAACTCGATAGTCTTCTAATTTGTAAACGCTTATATAAAAAGGGTACAGTAAACCATATATCATTTTTAAGTATCGGAAGTCTCGTCATAAAACTGCGCGGCGTGATTATACCCGCTTCGGTTTGTTGGCTTATTGATTTTTACGCTCGATTGGCGAACGCGATATCG